AGTGGCGTGTTTGGTATGGTAGACGCGCTAAGATGTGAGTGCTGCGATACGCCTGAGGTCAAAATGGCATGGGCCTCCGTGGCCTCGTCATTGGGGAATCGTTTATGCCACTCGTGGGTTTCCAAACATCAGCGCAGGGCAGATGGAATGGCGTGGAGAAGGGTTAGGCATGGGAGTCTCTGCCGGACCGCCGGCCTGATCCCAGCAGCAGTGGACCAAATTTGTCGAAAGATTGAGGCGCAGTCGCGGGAAACTTCAGCGATGCAGCGACTCTCCCAGTGCGTGATGACTGAGACGGTGAGACTGTACTGGCTTTGGCGCTGGCACTGGGTCACTGCCCAGTGCCTACTGGCAGACAGACGGGCGCCCCATGTTGCTGCATTGTTTGGTGTCCCGTCGGTGACAGAGGCCGGGCGCCGATGGTAAGGTCAGGCTGGGGATTACGTTGGCACTGCTTGAAAGTTGCGAGTGGAGGGATCTGCAGCGCTAATACGAGCACAGAGAGCGACATGTCCCAGACAGACGATCCGCTAAGCGGCAATGCATGAGATAAAGCACCCCCAGAGTTCCAGCCGACGGCGAGCCCAGGGATCTATCACCTGGGAATGATTGGTGACGGGACTGAAACGGTCGCCATCAGAACGGCCAAGTTAAAACGGAGAAAGCATCTCATTTCCCATACAATCGACGTGGTCTCGAAGTCGATCAACGAAAGACAACGAAACAACAGTTGGGCAGTAGGCTATCTCGAATATCTACATGCTTCGACACCGAGGCATCTGATATCGGATCGGGATAGTTCATGCATGTGGTTGTGGATTGTTAGTAGGCTAGTGATGCTGTTCAACCACTGCCGTCCGTCAATGTATTGAGCTTCATCGGCAATGAGATTGAAAGACATTCAGTCGTCGGGGTCAGAAACACTGTGAGAGACTGATTCGTCAAAACGCATAATGCACATGGCTTGGGTGGTTGGCAATTTCCTCTACACAGTAGGTACGACAACCGGGACAGCCCGGGATCATCCCCCGTGAACAGCTGTCCAGCTCGTGTCAAGTGATCTAGGGCGAGAACAAAGTTTGGACAAGGCCCGGTGTAAATCAAAGGAAGACGTGGACAGATGGTCGGCGTAGGCGGTTTAAAGCAACATGGAAACGGCGTCTTGGGTGGTGTCAGCCCAATCCTTCACATGAGGCGAGGCAACAACGCTGAGCACGGCCGAATGATCCAATGCGGCGACACAAGCGCCAAGAGTAGAAGGAGAAGGGCAGCTTGTCAGGGCCATGCACTTGCTGTCATCGATTTCATCTTGAGAGCGTTGTCCTGTCATTCGTGAGACCACAGAGCCGCATCCGCGGGGGGGATGACCAATGGGTAGAGTGTGGGGTTCAGCTTGCACTTGAAGGCCGTGGTAACTTTATGATGCACATCTGCCGGGCAGACTGCGACGTGTCGAGGGTAGGTAGGGATACTTGCGCATGTTGCTCGCTGCGTGGGCTACTCGAGTCGATCACACGAGGTCGAGTTATCCTCAAGCAATCAATGGCCATCTGCCATCTGCCATTTGCAATATTCGTATGGATGAGTCGAACGGTGCCACTCCCTCCTGTGTATCAAGTCATATCGAGTAAGGAAGGTAGTTTGATGTGAGGCCAGCGCCAACCTTCCAAGAGTGACACAAGGGACTACAAATGGTACCTAGAGAGCTTTGAAGAATTGTTGAGTGAGTGTGAAGCGGATAATAGTTGAGGCGAGAGCTGGCTTTTCAAGTTCCTGCCGCAATGCGTACTGCCTAACGCTGAATTTTAGTCGCAATGGTGAGCCAATGTCAAGCCCTCTCCAGCTTGACCTAGGAAGCTCAGGAATTGTCTAGTCTGTCGATTCCAAACTTCCATCTAGCGTGTCTTGAACCACCGTCACTTGTGATCTGTTGACTATGTTGGACAAAATACGGACACGGCGAAAGCGGAAGCCAGGGAAAAAGAGGAAGCTGGGCCCGGACAAGACCTCCGATGTGTCCGCTTGTTTGCCAAGTTGGACCCTCATCGTAGCGCTGCAGAAAACAGTGGATCTCCAAGGGAGGAACAGGAGACTGGTGTGGTCCCACCCAGTCCCCAACGACCCCGTCACGCCCGTCTCGATTTAGCACAGCCTTTACTCCGTGTGGGTGGTGGCACGGTGTGTGGATGAGATCTTGGTCGTGTTCCTGGATCCCAGCTCACTGATGGTGTGGACAGCGGGACATCTTGAGACTGACTGGCTGGCAGGTCACTGGTCTCAAACCGGTAGGGGAGAGGAGCGACAAGCGGGGCGGATGATTGGACGGACGCAACAAGCGGCGCGAAAGAAAAGCCAGCGCTACACTTTTGACGGAAGAGCGCGGGATATACGTAGATAGCGCATTATTTGTATGAGTGGTGTTGAATCGACGTGTCCCGCGACACGATGCCGAAAATGTGGTCAACGCGGCAGCCCATCAAAGACCGGAAGAGACCCCAATTGTAACGGCAAGTGTGTGAGACTGTGAGGAGTGGTGCCGGCCCACGAGGGACGGAGATGTGGGCTCTGGAGAAAGGTATGGAGAAACCAAACATGTCGGGAAACGGCAAAGGCGTTTTTTGTAGATATCATTGGCCCAACGGCTTGGTCTCGACTGGCATCGACCCAGGCTTGAGGCAGGAATCAAGAAGGGCGGCTTGGACGGTTATAATTCGTTGACATTATTCCTGGGGCGCTCCGGGGAGGCTCTTGAGATCGGCTACCTTACTGTGCAGGTAGGTATCCGTAGGTATGTAGTCGATTGCAGCAGGCTCGATGAAATAGTTGACGGATAGCCAATGGCAATTGTCCCCTGAAATGTCGAATGGGTGGTGTGACTGGGTTCATCTGGCAATATGGGCGCTTCCTGGGCCGATGAGGGGACGGAAAAATTCACCAGATAGAGAATTTCGCAGGTAATATGGCATCTTGGTCGACACCAAGTCCGAGTCGTTGACAAACAATTCCAGAGACAAGAGTGGCAAGATGCTGCCGGGTTGAGGCACGTGGCTTGCCCGGTCCAGACCCTTTTCCTGCCTCGCAGTCACAATGGATCGTTCTTGCCTGCCCCGATACTGTGACGTTGTCTCGGGAAGCAATTGGGCTGAGCGAACCGGCAGGAAGGACGATACCGTAAAAGGGCCGCACCTGCCTCTAGCCTGCCTGCCTGGCTGATCATGCTCTTTCGCAGCTTGTCCAGAGTTGACAGTGAGGTGAGTACCTTCCATATAACCCCAAGGTACTACCTATATAGAGGAAGGCAAGCACGTAGGTAGGGTACCTTAGGTACTTACTTGCCAGCCCCTCCTCCCTCGAATTTCATGCCTCCACTGGCCAAGTTGGTGAGAGTGACACGCAATTCGAGACCTCCCCACATTGGACCCCCCTTGACTCCCTTCATATCAAACCAATGGCTCTTGGAGTTTAGGACTTTGGTGAGGGGGACTATTACGGCGCAGAAAGATACTTGATTGCACCGTCCCACGAGTTACCTAGGTAGACTTTCATAAATATCCATACGGATAAATCATAATTGCCTCCACCACCTCGTGCCGCACTGCAGCCAGCTGCAATCGCTCTCCCCGCCGGGCTCCATTACCAGGTAAGGTAGCGTGCAACAGGAATGCGATTGGGACAGATTGGTACTGAACTGCAGATTCGAGGGTGCGGGTTGCAGGTGCCAACCAGCCTGGCGGTGGCTAACGCCATCTCCAGGTCTCCAACAGCCAACAAACCGCCGAGAAAACCTGCAATCCTGTGGTTCGAAGACGGGGTGTGCATTAGTGAATGCACCTGCCACGATCCAGGCCCTGCTCTACTATGGTAGGTAGGTACTCGACTGCTCGTGCTACCTTGATCTGTCCCAATCCAGCAAGGTTGCTGCAGAAGTGAGAAAACACTTTCCATGCTCGATGTGCAGATTACTCCGGCCAAGCTATTTTCATTGCTAACACGACTGGTGAACCATTGTCAAAAGGCAAGTACATCTCAAAGGCACGTTTCCTTGGCTGCAAAAGTCTCGTGTCTACCTACCCGGGAGGGGGGGGGTGTACAGCAGAGGTGGAAGCTTATGTGTCGCCTGGGCACAGTGTACCCCGCTACTCGAATGTCAGCAGTATGCCCTGATTATGTTCAACATGTAGTCGATTAGGTAGAAATATTCAATTATGTACATCGCCTTAACATGGTGTACGCACTGACCTTACAGGGTTAATATGAACTTTGCGACAGGGTGACTTGGCGCAACTTCATATCGGCCGAACTCTTCTCATTGACTATAAGTAGTAGTGTGGTTAATTGACATTGTTGGTTAATAAGTTATTAGGTGCATCAGAACCTCGTCGTTGCTTACAGAATTTGAAGTTATTCGCAAATCATATGACTAAAATTTTGTACCAAAAATTTCTTACTATCGATCTTATGCTGGTGAAATTTGTATGCATACTTAGTAATCAAAGGCTTTATTGTGCTGTAGTGACTGTTTTCTGATCCTATATTACCCTGTAAGTGGTAATGCTTATTTTACTAAGATGCACTGGTCTATGTGTGCATCCTAACCGTATGTTGTCCTGAGGTTGTCTTTTTAGCACGCCTCTGCTATGTCAGAAGCTCTGCTGCGGCGCATACTTAATTAAAGTGATGGCTCTATAGTCGCGTTGTTGATGCCTGATGTGAAGTCGTGGGGCCTGTTGCCTTAGGATTTATGAGGTTCCACAGACTGCCAGAACCACTACCGCCTGTAGCATACACTGCAATGTTGGTTAGAAATCTCACTGTAATCATCCTCTTAACGCATATCTTCTACTAACCTCGGCATACGTTAGATCATACATAAACATCCCTCCGACATTACGAGAGAGCTACTCTCTATTCACTTGGTCATACCCTTTGCGCTCGACGATAGCTAGTAGCCATGCGTGGTGGATATTTCCGGCTTTAGCGAGTCGCGCCTTGCGCTCCTCCTAGAATGTAGCCTCCGCCTCTGCCTCCGCCTCTTCTGACCAATACTGCTTCTCCTCAAGAACTGCGTGTATGAGATCGATCTCGTAGACATCTGTCTCGTGTTCGGAATGTTTAGAATTGTTGCCTTGGCTTGACGCGCTGGTGTGGTCCTGTCGGTCGCCAATCTCGGTGGTCTCGATAGCTTCACCTGCGGGCGCAGATTGCGCGATAGCAAGCCGGTGGGCAGCTTCAGCACGGGGACCGACGCTTCTAATGCTAATTCCCTGCAGCGCTATCTCCTGTAATAGAATCTCGCTGTCGGTAGGCGAGGAGGGTGGTGTGATTGTGGTGTCTATGTTTACCTTTGTACCTTGGTTAGAATGAAAGACGGAGTTCAGAAAACGGTAGACTTACTCGGACAGAAGCTGCTGGGTCGTCTTGTCATTATTATCTGTTGTGTTAGTAGTAAATAGAGTTTAATGTTGCGTTAGAGAAAGGTGACCTCAGCATCAGTATGCATAGACGGCCTGTATCAGCGCGAGGACTGTTTCACCAATTAACCTACCTTAGCGACCCTCCATGTACTATATCTCATCGCCGCGGACGCTCTTAATTTTTATCGCCACGGACGCGTGCTTTAGATTTTTATCGCCGTGTCAATTAGTGGTGGTGCGCTCTCATATGATGACGTGTTGCTGACTAACTACGAAGCACTTCTACCTACCTTACCTTAGGTTTAAGGTATTGACCCGGTATACATTTCATACTATAATCGACTTGCAATTTTACCTCCGTAAGCCTACCTTATACGATGCTGAATAGACGGGTAGTACGGAGTACGGTAGCTAGACATTGAGCAGGGGTTTGAGGCAATCTCCATCTTCCCACCTCCCTCAGAAGGAACAAGAAGGCAGCAAATGTCAGGAGCACTTCATTTCACCCAACATACTGCTAGGCTCATCTATATGCATGCTGCATGCCTGGAGAACTTCTCCATAATGTAGACTAGAGGGCCTTTATATATACTACCTTATAATTTAATAGAAATGTGAGGTGAGATGAGCCCGCTGTGACCTGATACAAGGAGATTGATTGTTAGCTCAAGTCAAAGAACATACCGGGCTGCAGCCGTGAAATATACCCTTGCTACCAACTGACCTACCCGCCGAGTAATCAGACCTCATGCACTCGTTAGAGTAATCGGTATACGTACTGCAGGTAAGCCTCTTAATATGATAGAAAAAGCAGCGCTATGAAATTATAAAAACTACCTAAGTAAAGTACGCGATCGATACATGCCTTGTCTCTATGCTAGATGCCGCGTCTGAATACTTAGCGCATTTTGAAGTAGAAAGAGCCTAAATGAAAGAAAGGAATACTGAGAAAAAGAAAATGTACTAAATTAAAGATCTAAATCCGCCCGAGTTTCACCGTCTTCGTTATCCTCCGAGTTAACTTTATCCTTCGTTATATCGTACTAAACTACCTCTGCGCCGTTATTATATGTGTTTATAATAATACCGAGAAGCTTCTTTAGCTCTTTATCAAGTATAGGCGCTGCTATCTAGGTAGTTAGACCGATTTCACTATTCGGTTAGTTATTAGGTTCGCTCTGGGCGCCACTCTCGGGGGCCTTTAAGTATGTTAACACGGCGTGGTTAGCTAGCTCTAACTCCTCAGGCCGCTACTCTATACTAAGAGCTACACATACTCCAGCCGTTAGCCCTAACATCTAGGGATTTACTAAAGTAATAGATAGCATTTTAATTATACCTATCGTAGAAGTCTCATTTCTTTCGATAGTCTTAGTAACTTCTGCCTTCTCCACGGTCGCCTACTTCTTTGACGTAGGCTATCCTTTGCTACTGGACCCTGCTTTATATTTCTTAGTAGGCTTGGAATTGTTCGAAACTTTGGCTAGGCCCTTGCTTTTATTATCGTTCTAATTAGTAATCCTTATCTCTACTAGCCGCTTCTTTACCGGGTCGCTTTTGTAGACGCTTGTGATCTTACCGTTAACCGTCTCGACTATACTATAGCTAAATGCTCTAGCTGTGCTATGCTAGTCTTTAACGAGGGTAGTGCGGACCTATAGACGTATTACCTTCTCCTTTTCTAAGCTACTGCCCGGAGCTACCTTGATCTAGTTCTCTAAGGACCTGCGATATCTAATAGGTAGGTTGTTCTCTCTATTATATGAGACGACTACTAAGAGAAATAGGTAGCCCTCGAGCTCTCTCTAGCTAGTAGTGCGTAAGGCCTCTTGGTAATATTAGTATACTAAGCTATTTGATTGGTGCGTTATGTTAAAGGAGACGGGTACTCTATGAAGCTAGTAAATTAGTAGATGCTCCGGTAAAATAGTAGTTGTTAATGAGGAAGAGAGAACCTACCTAGGTACTTACTTCGTGATCAGCCTGGTTATGGTAAGAGCGCCTAGGGACGTTCTTATCGGATTGTGAGCCTGTCTTGAGTTATTCTGAAGACTAGAAACTTCGAAGTAATGTTGAGGAATAAAAACCTTGCTTAAACGAAAGCTTAATATTTCTTGATATGCAAAAGATTGTTCAAGTAAGGCCGGAACTGCGCAGAGTTTTGTAGGGAGAAAGTAGAATTAAAGGACGAAGTATTTTGTAGATGTTGATGTTGATGTGAAGTTGAGGTTGCCTCTGAGTGAAGAACTGAGGGCGTGATAGGTAGCTATAGAGTGTGAAATCAAGAGACGATTCTTGCGTCTTGACTACCTCCGGTTATAGAAGAAGCGCGATGATTTACCGAGGAGAAAACTTGCCTAAGCAAAAGTGAGAGTTGGAGATAGCTTTAAATCTCATGCGGTGAAATCCACTAATCACCTCTATAATTGATGCCCAGCGACTACCTCAATTGCTCCTTCTTCTAAATCTGATTACTTCTGAAGTTCAGCAAGAGCGACTCGTATTTAGATATACTACCGTCTATCTTTTTGGCGGGCTCACTTTTATTTATAACCTCACTCTTAATTAAGAACCTAAATATTATATCTCTTAAAATTCATTCCATAAACACTACCTAATATTATCGAGGTTTCTTAACTTAAATCTCATTCTCTCTACTTGATTTACCTATCTACTATTTTTTCCCCCGCGTCTAGTAATAATCTCAGAGCTAGGTACTACTTTTCTTACTATCTACTAGATACTTCTCTAAATTAAGAGAGGGGCGGCGTTAAGTAGCTAGTGAATTACGGTAAGGCCTATAACTATACTATATAGTAAGCGCACGACCTAGGTATGCTAGCTTGCTCTCGCTGGTGAAATGTTAATTAGGTAAGGACTTGTGTCTTATGTTCTGGGATATGCTAATGTGCCCCTATTACCGATTGGTAAAAACTCACAAGCTACAGGGGTTGTCCCCGCTAGGTATGCTGGAAGATATTAACCCGCACGAGCCGTTATGCTGAGCTCTGTAGTCCTAGAGTGGCCACGGAAAGCAGTGAAGTAGCAAGCGATGCCACGAGGTATGTATTAGATGCAGTGAGTTTCTTATTATTCTAATACAGAGCCTCGAAAGTGTAAGAAGCCTAACATTTGGCCGTGAAATAGACACAGAGGGAATGCTTAATTACCTAAGGCGCGTGTACTTTAAAGGACCGTTATTGTAGGCGGTGGAATAGGTTGCATAAGATAATATGTTTTACTGGCTAGCCGGAGAGAGTATGCGACGAAGTGAATATCAAGAGATGTTATATTATGAGTAATTATCTAAGCTAAGATACCCCGTAGTTCTATGTAAGTATTTCCGAACCCCTAAAGTAAGATATCTCTTCGTGACGTTATTGTGAAATCCCCTTAGAATGAACAGTCGACCTAGTAATCCTTCGAGGAGGATTGTTATAGGACGGCATATTATTTTATAATAAACCTAAACGCTAGTGCAAACCAGTAATCGCTTCCCGTGTGCTTTGTAAACCGTGAAATTAAGCGCTTGTATATCTATGCTCTATTCTATCTCTACCTTTAGTTCCGCTCAGAGGCGTTGGCAGGTTAATACCGATAGTAGAGAAAGTACTCGCTATGGGCTTAAAAACCGCGATATTATTATTAACGTTAGAGAATATAATCTTTTTCTTCTTTTTCTTGTTTAGGGCCCTGCCGCGAGGGCGCTCCTTAATCTTGCCGAGGTTCCTAATCTAGTAGCTTTTATATACTTTGTAGTTATAGATTGTATCCTAGCGGCTTAGGACCTATTACTACGTAAGCTAATGCTTACTAGTAGGTCTTTATAACGCTACTAAACGTTCTTACTGTAGATGGCGTTTAATTAACGTATAAAGCTCGATATAGATCGCTAAGATATTGTTAGAGAGCGATGATATAATAAATAAGCATAGATAGCTTACTTAAGTACTAAGCTTTCACTAGTGGTGTAGAGTTGGCGATGTCGATCTAGCTATTATAGAAATAAAAGAGAACCTCGAACTCGTTGGCTTTGAAGTTTCCCGTGAGGAATATCTGAGCACTCTTAACGGAGTACGTGGGAGCGAAGCGGAGCTGCTCCTGTTCCTTTAAGACGAGAATATGGTCCTAGAGAAATTAGTGTTAAAGTCTGTTGATTAAAGCGTATAGTAAATATACTAATAAGCGAGCCATGGTTCTGCTCTTCTACGAGTTTACATTATCCTGACCTCGGAGCCTTGCGAGTCGGTGAATCCATGCGGATTCGGGGCCCTCGAACTATTTAAAGAAAACACCAACGATATTATCAATAAGATATTTACCCAAAGTAGCGAGAGTAGCGCGATGCTATTACTTCTCGAATTCCTTAAAAAGTGGCTAGAGTTTTATAGTCTACTCCTTGTTAGTCTTCGTAATATACTCCCTCTTACCCTTACTAACTACTCTAGTAGTGGTAGTCGCTTTCTATAGTAAAGTTAGTATTAAAGAACTTTAGATATAAGAGAGGCTAGGGTAAATAACATACGATCTCTCGAGTCAAGAACTTCCTAATCTTCTTACTACTTAGGCTAGACACTTCGTCCTCATCTTCATCATCCTCTTCGTCACTATCACCCTCGCCTTCAGTAGGTCGCTTCCTTTTAAAGGAAGACTTCTTGGTTACAGACTTATTTGTTTTAGGATTGCGCTAGGAATCCTCAACGTAAGAATTTTTACTCTTACTCTTACTCTCGCAGTCTAATAACACGATAGGCCGATCTCTATTTAACTTTTTTAGTTTATCTTTAGAGCGATTAGAGTGCTTAGAAAGCTTCTTTTTTAACTTATCCTGAAGTAGGGGTGGCAGTGTAGTACTCCTATCGGAGTCTGAGCCTGGGCCCCTAGTAGAGTCGCCTAGGTTCGATATATTATCTTAATATCTAGTGTTTAGTGGGCGTGAGTTTTTGCGTATGGTGTTTTAATAAGTTGCGATTTGTCAAAGTAAAAGAGGAAAATGAATTTATAATAATTG